TGGGTGAAAAGGACAGAATCCAACAGATTAATAAGTCCCGCTGGCCTCTCAGAAAACTCAGGATTTTGAGCTTTCCAATTATAGAGGTCGCTAGTGGCGAAAGGCCAGTAGTGATGGGGCTGATCGCCCCTCTCATCTGGGGGACCAGTGGCTCGCAGGGGTAAAGTCTTAACAGTGGAGTCGGCGACGGAGGCGAATGGTTCCCTCTGGGCTCTTTGTCTGGTATGCGGCGGGCTTCCCGCTCTCCTCATGGCGTCCGCTTCCTTTAATGGGGGAGGGTCAGGTCCCTCCTCCGGCACCCCAGGGAACTGATACAGGGGAGGAAAAATTAATTCTTCTTCAGTTCCCCCCTGCAAGGCAGAGGAGGGGGGAGCTGATGGCAGGGTGATTTTCTTCTCCTCTGTCCTCTCCGTTCCCATTAAAGCAAACATAGGTTCCGGCTCCGAGGGGCATGGAGCCACGAAGGGCTTAAGCCAAAAGGGTGGGTTCTCCACAAGGTCCTGCCACGTGATAATGTATGGGAGCTGATCGGGGTAACCCGTCTTGGGTTGAGAGACGACACTCCGAACCCGGCGAATGGTAGGGAGATGGAATGTTCCTTCAGGTGGCCATCCGACATTGAAAGCTGGCCACTCACTAGAACAACAAGTCTGCCATCGGCCCTTCCGGACCTCCACACTAAAATTGCTAGCTCTTTCCTCCACGTCCTGAAAATGATCAATCACAATGCTCAAAGGAGTGATCTGAGTCTGTCCCATAACATCCATACAGTGAGTCCACAGAGTAACACAGAAAATCACAACCACCAGCAAGAAGAGGGCGCCCAACATCAACATTTCGACTCCTTAGTAGAAAAACCAGCTGTGCGGCCGGTGGGCCCGCTTCTCCTGGGCACCACCGAGGCCGTCCCTCCCGGCCCGACCCCAGGGCAGGGTCAGCGCGGCAGCTCCTGGGGGCGCGGGGGCAGCGCTGAGCCCCGACCAGACGCCGTCCCGACTCCACTCACGTTTCCCGGGCCGCGGCGGTCCCTCTCGGCCCCGCAGCACCCGGCCCGGGACACCGCGAGCCTCAGCCACGCTCACGGACGGACCGGGCTCGCCCGAACGACTCACAAGTCCCACCCGCGACTGCCCAGCCGCAGGAGCTGCACGCGAACGCCTCAAACCGCGCGCGGCGGCCGCCACGTGACCAACGTGCGTCCAATCCGGCCGCGGGCGCCGGTTCCCCGCTGAGGCCGGCGCGCGCATGCGTGGGACGCGGACGCTTCTCCCGGCGGCGGTTTCCTAGTGCCTGGGCGCATGCGCCGCGCGACGCCCCGCCCCCGCCGAGCGAGACCCGCCGAGCGGGGCTGCAGCGCGCTTGCGCAGTAGCCGGACGCGGGCGTTTCTTTCCTCCCTTTTCGAATTGGTCCGAGAGGCGGCCTTGCGTTACAAAATGGCGGCCTGGAGCGTGCTTGGCGCTGTTCCCCCGGCGGTCTCCGGCTGAGGGGGCGGCTCCGCTCGCTGCCGAGCACCGACAGGCGAGCCCCTGGGGGACATGCTGTGTGAGACCCCGGGCTTGCTGGCCTCCGAGTCCTTCGAGAATCCCCGCGCCCCGGGAGCGGCCAGGTGCGCTCACCCGGCGGCCGGCCGCCGCCCAGCGAGTTCCGCGGCAGCCGCCCCGGAGGTGAGAGGCTGGGCAGCGGGGGCGGCGAAGGGGCCGGGGGGCCCGGGCCTGGGACGGAGGCGCAGAGGGAAGCCCCCAGGCGGGGGAGGCGCGGGCGGCGGGGCCCGCGGGGCGGGGCGGGCGGTGACCGCGGCCACGCCATCGGCTGTTTGTGAAGCGGCGCCGGGGCCTCGGGGAAGCCGGCCCGCGGCGGCGCCCCGGCGGAGGCCGGCGGCCGGAGCGGCAGGGCTGGCCCGGCGTGGCCTCAGGCTTCTTCCTAGCGCTTCCTCTCGGTACTCCGGTCCCCTCGGGCCCCTCACCTGCCTCTCCTCGCCCCCTCCACTCTCTCTTTGCCCCCCCCCCGCCCTTTTAAAAAGCATCTAATGGTTCCAGAGCGGGAGCTAGAAACATAAATGCTGAGAGGAAAACATCATCGATGGGCTGCCTCCTGCTCGCCCCGCGCGGGGGACGGAGCCCGCCACCCAGGCGTGTGCCCCGACCGGAAGCGGAACCGTGACCTCCGGTTCCTAGGTGGACGCCCAGCCCCCGAGCTACTTGGGCTGAGCATTGGCTTCTCTTCTCATTGCGATGCCGGAACATAGATCGATCACCCCGTTACTCTGTTCCTTTTTTAAAGAAGCAGTTAATTTTTTTAAAAATTGGTTTTTAGGGAGGGAGGGAAAGAGGGAGGAAGAAAGAGAAAGACATCCACTTTATATCTTTTTTTGCCAACCTGTCTCCTTTTTTAAGAAATAAATCTTGAGTGTTGAAAGTATTACGTATGTCTCCCTTTCCCCCCCTTATTTGTGCATTGTATGCATTCCACGGCTGCTGCTTGTATGTGCCCTGACCAGGGCCGGAAGCGGCAGGCTGGATACTGGGGGCAGCAGTACCCATCGGAGCTACCCCCCAGAGCTAGAAGGAAGCAGTTTCCTTTTCCGCTGGCCGTTCTGTCCCCGGGTCTGACCCTGGTTCTCTTTTTCCTCCGGACACTGCATTTGCAAGTGTGGTCAGACCTGTTTTCCGCTCAGGGTAAGCCGATGTGGACTAGAGTTCACCCTGGGGCTGGGCAGCACCAGATGGCGCCGGACACGTGTCCTCCAGTTACCAGGACGCTTCCTAGGAATCAGTTCCTCACGTGGTGCCTGGTCACCGCCAGCCCAGGCGCTTTTGGAGTCCCGGAACTCAGCCAGCACACCAGGCTCCAGGCGCAGCCTCGCCCTCGGTGCTTGACAGGGATGCTTTACTCCTCATCTTGCATCCAAAGGAAAATGATTGTCTGAAGTGTTTTGCTTTGAGTCAACATATGAATTGATTAAAATATATCTTAAAGCTTGGTTCATAATTCAAGTAAATACTCTTTTTTTCCAAGGAACTTTCAAGTTTCAGAGGAAAAAGAGTATTTTTAGCCTTTGCTTCTAACATTTGTTTCTTTAATATTTATTGAGCCCTTCCTCTGTTCCAGGCATTTTTCTTAACTTTTTTGTTTATCTCACTTAGTTTTCATACCTCCCTGTTCTGCATATGAAAAGACGGGGGCACAAAAATGAAATAGCTTGTCCAGCATCTTCCTGTAGTATTTCCCAAATCTGTGTGTCCCACATCCCTGACTTAGTAGCCAGCACACCGGCGTGAGCTGGGCAGGCTCGGGGTGTGTGAGTACAGCCAGCACCCAGAACAGACCCCCCCTCTGGGTGGGTCCTGACGGGATGACTGCAGGAGAATGAGAGCAGCTACATTTAGTTTCGCTGTGCCCATTATGATTATCCACTGTGGGTATGAGAGGTTAAATTCTTTATCACAGTTTTTGTATTTTCAGCTCCACCTCCTTTTCCTTTTTAATAACTTATCAACAGGTAATATAGTTAATCTTAATAGCAACAATAGCTATTTCAACTTCTCACCTCTCCTGCCCTCTGGTGGGAGCGTTAGTTACTGAGCAGCAAAAAGGCCAAAAGAATGCAGGCAGACCTGGCCTCTGGACAGTCAGGTTCAGTGAGGAAGTCTGTGTAAAACTATATTGATCTTGTTTGCATTAGTAGCCAGACTTGACCAGTGTTTGCGGGAGACATTAAGAAGGGACTCGGAGATTATTGGATGCTATTGGAAGCTGGAGCCCCTATGGAATCACAGGGTGGGTTTTGGAGGACGTGGGGGCGTCATCCCGCGGTGTTTATTTCATAGACAATAAAAAGCAGTAGTGATGTGTGAGTTTGTATCCCAGTGAACGTGAACTTCTAGGAGCTTACGGGGCTTGTGGTGTAGAGGGCACACCAGGGTGGAGAAGGATTATCAAAGGTGTGGCAGGTCCCGGAGCCGAACCCATGAGTGAGTCCCTGTGCGAGGTGAGGGGCAGAGGAAGAGGGTTTCTTGGTCGTTGGGCTGGGAGTTAGCCGCTCACAGTGGAGCTCTCACTGACTGCTTTTGTTTGATAGCAGAGGATATGCTGTGGGATCAGAAAGCAGATTACAGAGGGCAGGTGCCAGCACCCTCTTCCAAGATAACATTGCCAGCCCTGCCCTGCCCTGCCCCATCCCGCCCCCGCCATGGTGTCAGGAACTGAGCTCCTGGCTTACTTTTGAAAGGGTTATAAAATCTCAGAATGTTACACTTGTAAATGATGTCCTATTTTAGCAATATGCAATTTGGGGTGATTAAATGTTCAGTCTTGGGAAATGTATTTATACCAACGTCTGTAGCCTAAACACGAGGACTTATGCTATGAACTTTTGACCAACATCTTATGAAAACTCCTACTTAAGCATGAGCTTCCCTGGATCATCTTGAAGAGAATTTTAAATATTTAAAATGTTTTGTCTGTAGCAAGGCTATAACTAGCATAGAATAAGTTAGTTAAGCACTTCTTGATTATATAACTTCCTTTCAAATAAAGTAGGTTCAGTGCTGTTCAGAAAACCTAACTGCTTCCTCAAGTAATCCTCTGTTGGATTTGAAACAATAGTAACCTAAGGACACCTTTGTAACATTCCGTTAAAGCAGTTCCCAGTGGAATGTTTTCTATCTCATTTCATACTAGTGAAAATTCTTTGTAAGAGTAATCTCTTGCCGAAACCGGTTTGGCTCAGTGGATAGAGCATCAGCCTGAGGACTGAAAGGTCCCGGGTTCGATTCTCATCAAGGTCATGTACCTTGGTTGCCAGCATGTCCCCTGGGGGTGTGCAAGAGGCAGCTGATTGATGTTTCTTTCTCATCGATGTGTCTAACTCTCTATCCTCTCTCTTCCTCTCTGTTAAAAAAAAATCAATAAAATATATTTTTTTGGGGGGGAAAAAAGAGTGATCTCTTGGTCCAGAAAAGCAAATCTTGTACTCTTTTTACTTTCAGCTTTGAAAAAAATGGCCAAAAGAATTGCTGAGAAGGAATTGACCGATAGGAACTGGGATCAAGAAGACGAAGCCGAAGAGGTAAAAAGTAGTTTTCCTAAAAGTGATTTTGTGCTGCTTCCACATTTAAACTGGGGGGGAAATGAAAAGCCTTTTTAAGACCATCCTGCAGGGGAAAAAGTGTGGTTTCCCGTGATCGGTACTTAATGGAGACGTTTATTTATTCCATCCAGTGTGCCTTTCCACCAGCACCTTCCTCCTGAATTTCACACACTTGCCGCTTCCTGAACCCTGGTTTTAATCAGCTGAAGGACGAGGAAATGATCGAGTCTTAGTGCAGTGCCATGCTCAGGCTTGACGAGTCTCTGCCACCACCATCTTGGTTGGCCGTCCCTGTCATTTTAGATTCAAATGGTTGAGTTCACCTCCCTCCCTCTGATCTTCTCAGAGTCCAGCTTCATGTCTTATTCTTACAGATCTGAGATGCACTCCCCACCCCAAAAACGACATTAATGGGAGTAGAGCTTAGATTGGCCTGGTTTCTTTCCTAACAAAGTCACAGTGGCCTTCCCTGAGGAAATCTCTTCCTGTTTGGTCCTTCCTCAGCAGTGTGGCAGCCCCAGGCCGGTCACCGAAGTCTGCACCCACACTAAGAGAATAGTGTCAAGTAAAAAAAAAGAATGTGCAAGTATCTTTAAGCTTATTCTTAGACTAGAGGCCTGATGCAGGAATATTCTAGCAAGAATAGGCCTTCCTTCCCCCAGCTGCCACACCGGCTTCCCTCAGGCACCTGGGACCTGGCTGGCTTCCCCTGGCTCGGCTTCAGCAGGAAGGAGGGATGTCTGGTCTAATTAGCATATTATCCTTTTTTATTATAGATGGCTGTCTTCTTTCTGAGTTTATTTCATGGCATTAGTATTCTTTCTTTACAAATGTTTGCACAAAATCACAAGCATGTTAATATTTTAGCAGGGGCTTTTAACATTTCTAGCTGCCATCATGCTTTTTCACCAAGACTGGGTAACTGCATTTTTTTCCAGGTCTTACGTACAGCTGCATTCTGAGCCCAGTAAGATTTAGTCTACCATATAAAGATTGTTTTGATGTTAAATATTTCAGGAATGAAAGAACTCCCGTTTGGGTAGTTGCTAATGAATGAATGAGTGTGGAAAGACAGTCCCATTTAAGCCGTGGAGCTCTGCCGCTCTCTGCAGTGGCTGTGGATGGAGTTCACGGGGAATGCCACGCCAGCCGGTGGGAATAGCAGGGAGGGCAAGCCAGAGGCCTGGGCACGGTCCTCGCTGTGGCGTGCTGCTGGAGCACGCTCTGTGGGTTAGTCACCCCGAGTCCTAGGGGGGGTTGGGGGGGTCTCTTGGATGAGGGGCAGATGGGCAGAGCTCTTTGTAAAAGTAATAGTTATGTATTTCATAAATACAATTTTACTATTGAAAACGGTAGTAAAATACTAGATTTGTGCACCTGGGTTTCAGAACTGTCCACTCTCACCGGTTCATGATCTTTAAGGCACCTTCCAGCAGAAGTTTTACTAATGCCTCTGAATGCATCTGAAATACCTGAAAGCTGTGCTAAGTAGTTTGGCACCAGAGTTTGGGGGCTGAACCTTGTCAGACTTCCACGCTCGCCCTCCTCTCTCTGATTCAGATCCTGGCTTTGTAGGTTCAGAAGCCTGGTGGGTCACTGACTGCCATTGGGATTCACCAGAGAGAGCTTGTGTGCATTAACGCGCCCGCTCTGATGTGTGCGTGAGGAGGATGAGCAGGACTTGGAAACGAGCAGATAGGGAGGGGCTGCCTGCTCTAGCTTTTTCACTCAGCGTGTGTCTCCACGTGGCCGAATCTCACTGCTGTGTTTGTGTGCTCCTGCAGGTGGGGACGTTCTCAGTGGCCAGTGAGGAAGTCTTGAAGAATAGAGCCATAAAGAAAGCAAAGCGTAGGAATGCTGGATGTGAAGTGAGTGTTTTCACAGCTTTCTACTGGGCGGGGGTAAGGGGGCAGTCAGATCAGTAAGTGCTCGTTAAAGTGCTTTCTCCACTGTGGACAGCGGCCGCCAGCCTTTCGGCCCTCAGACCACCATGGCTGGCACCTGCTGGTGTAGCACATGCAGAACAGTGCCCCAGAGGCTGGGCCTCACGGGAGCTCACAGCGCAGAGTGCCAGTGAGGAGGAGGAAGCGGACAGCCGTATGGAGACCCGAGAAGCCTGTGGCAGTGGCAGTGAGAGGAAAGGAGGGGATTCTCAGTCCCCTCTGGGGGAGGTGTGGGTTGGAGCAGTCTAACCGGAACAGAAGCCGTTCCCGTGCCCGCCATGTCATGCATTAAAACGCTTCCTTCTGGCTCGGAGGATCCAGGATGGGGTGCATACAGCTCAGAAATTGAAACCCCGTGGTCAGCTTCAGCAGTCACCACATTAACACCTTCTCCCATGCTGGTCCTCAGCCTCCATGCGCTCCAGGCCTGGGTGCCGTGCTGCCGGCCTGGCCGTCTGTGCTCAGGCTAAGCGGTGGGACATGCCGGGCAGCTTCGGGAGAAACCTGCACAGCTATGCCTCCCTTCCACGTCTGTCCTCACTCAGCCGTTCTTTAGACGGCTGTGTAGTTGGCTGCAGGTGACAAGTCAGGTGATGTGCGATGGGAAAGGGCCAGCTTCGCCAGGAAGGAAAGATGGAGTCTGTGTGGAAAGGCCCGGAAGGGTGGTGTGAAGTTCTCCACGGGACCACTGGGGACTTCTCAGGCAGGAGTGGAGCCAGAGGTGCAGGCAGGAGGAGGTCAGCTGTCCCGGGGGCTGACGCCACAGCGGGGGAGAGCGCGTGAGGAAGGGGCTCTGGTTTGCGTGAGTGAAGGTGCTCCTGTCCTGATTCTGCTCTCGGCCGGCAGTTTTCCTTCAGTGGATGGAGGCTGCGTAACCTAGCCGAGATCGTACTGCCACTCGCTCACCGGTTATAAAATCAGAGTTATCTGTGCTCCTCCTTTGTGTTTCAGTCGGATGGTGGAGGGGCCTTCAAAGGCTTTAAAGGGCTGGTGGCACCCTCTGCAGGAGGAGGGTTTTCTGGATTCGGCGCTTGTGTTGGAGGGAAGCCCTTGGAAGGACTGTCCAACGGGACCAGCATGACTGGTGCCGCGCCCTTCTCCGGTGCCAGAGCTGCGGCCGAGACCAAGGTGGCCTTTGGTAAGTAGGTCCCCTCCCCCTCTCACATCTGTGTGAAGACAACCCCGAAAATAACTCGAGGCTGCGGACTGAAGGTCCCAGGTTCGATTCCTGTTAAGGGCATGTAGCTTGCTGTGGGCACATCCCCAGCAGGGAGTGTGCAGGAGGCAGCTGATCGATAATTCTTACTCTCAATTGCTCTTCTTCTCCCTTCCTCTCTATAAAAAAATCAATAAAATATATTTAAAAAAGAAGATTTCAGGATTAGCAATAGAGAATAAAATCATGGATTAAAATATTGAGTTCTTGGAAAAGATCCCAATTTGTTGGATTGTTCTTAGCTATTCTAGAAGAGTTTCATCTTAATGAGGCAGAATGTTTATGTGATTAAAATAAAATTAACTTTCTGTTAAGATTTTAACTGCATTAATATTCATTCCTAAAACCTTGGGGATTAAGTTTTATACTAACAGTATTTTGACAGTTCTGGGTAAAATGGGCATCTTTTTGAAGGAAAATATTATTTTAAAAGGATGATGCAAGCATAGAATGCTGCGTAGAGTTTGACTTGATTTTTGTGGTAACCAGATCCTAAATATTATGTGTGCACATACTTCCTGAGCTTCACAAAGATGGGATGCAATAAAGCAGAAAAGAGGAAGAGTGATACAAAAGTCTAGATGATTTAGTCAAGTAAAAATCTTAAAACTTGAATTTCCTTTAGGATCTGTTGCTGCAAACGGCCCCGCCTCCTTGGCTGATGGGAAGTCCTCCGGGCTGGCCTCCAGCACCGCCTCCCAGGGGAGCGCCTACCACAAGCAGCTGGCCGCCCTCAACTGCTGCGTGCGGGACTGGATCGTGAAGCACGTGGACGCCAACCCGCTGTGCGACCTGACGCCCGTCTTCAGGGACTACGAGAGCTACCTGGCGGGCATCGAGCAGCAGCAGGGCGACAGCGGGAGCAGCGGCTCCGAGCAGAAATCTAGCAAAATGTCACTCGACTCCCAGGCTCCCTCCCTGTTCGGTTCCGCCAAGTCCCAGCAGGAGTCGACGTTCCTGTTTCACGTGGATAAAACTGAGGGCGCCTCCGGAAAGAAGACGGGGGCGGGGCCTGAGGAAAAGGGGGACCCGTCTCTGGGAGTGACAAGTGCCTCGTTTAGTTTCGGCAAGAAGGTGGACGGGTCTGTGCTGGGCTCCTTAAACTCTGGCCCCCTGGCTGGGTTTTCCTTTTCTCCTGGAAACGCCAGTTTGTTTGGCAAAGACATTGCCCAGAGTAAGCCGGCTGCTTCACCCTTCTCCGCCCCGGGACCGGAGAGCCAGGCGGGTGGCGGCAGCGTGGGCTGCAAAGGTGAGGGGGATGTTGGTCCGCAGTCCGGGGTCGGGTGTGGAGGTTTGTGTTCAGGGGAAGAAGCAGAGACGGCGCCGTCATGTCCGAGCCGCGTGCTCCCGGGCCGGCTGGCCAGCCCGTCTCCGCTTCCTTACGTGCAGAAGGCAGTGAGGCCGGTGTGCAGGTCATTGTGAGGACTAAGGATATAGACATTGATTGAAAAGTATCAAATACCTGGCTTGTGTGTAAAGAATTAAGTGAATTAACGTTTGAAAATTGCATTTTATTGGGAGTTAATCATGAATATCCACCGAGTTGTGTGTGCGTAGGAGATTGGGTTATAAGTAAAGGCCAGAGCAGAGCGCTGCTGTCCGCAGAACAGGGAGACTTCGTGAGCCCGGGGACAGGTCACCCAGGGCTTTCCGAGGGGAGTGGTTTGAGCACTAGGACTGCTTCTCGGCGGCGATTTTTTTTTTTTTTTTTTTCATCAATACAAAAGTTTATTTAACAAAAGTTCAATGTGAAAATGGACAAGACTCTATATTGTAGGAAAACAGGTGCTGTGGAGAGGGGACATGTGGAAGCAATTGATTTCTCTGGTAACTACAGCCATTCTTCATACTCGTTCCAAGGCTTCTAACATGATGATACTATTTCCTCGGATTACCACCATTCCAATATTGTTCTGTTGCCCACCCGTTGCCATCTCCACACATTCATCTATCACAAGATTCATAAAGGGATCAAATCCCTGTAATATTCCTTGGACATGTCTGCCACCATTTAATTTCAATGATAACTTCTTGTCCATAAATTTTTTTAACTCGGGAGGGTGAGCTTTGCTCATGGTGTCCAAGCGAGCTCACAGACACTTCCAAACGGAATTCGAGGCCTCTCTATGGCGGCGATGTTTAAGTTGCTTTTTAGTTAGGGAGTTTCATGGCCTGCCGTTCTCTCTGAGATGGGCATGGGCCTGTCTTCCGTCTCCCCTGTGTGGGGCTGCAGGGAAAGGGAGTGCTGCTCTGGCTCACGCAGGTGGGGGTGGGAGGCATGCAGGTCATACAAAGCTCACGTGACTGATGCTTGGCTCTGGAGTGATCCTCTGGCAGCTGCTCGTCTCCCATCGGATCCAGTCCCTGCGGGAGGCGGGAGGCGGGAGGCGGGAGTCGCAGGAGCACGTGGGGAGGGAGGTGCGGGATGCACATTGAGATGTTCCTTCCCCGGTGATGAGTGTCCACAGTGTGTGTCACCTGTCTGTGCCCACGCCTCCCACTTCAGAACCTGAAGGAAAGTCTTATTGATCAGAAGGTGCCAGCTGAGAAGAGGGGAGACGCCCCCTCAAATCCATCTTTTTTTTTTTTTTTTTTTAAATATATTTATTGATTTTGTACAGAGAGGAAGGGAGGAGATAGAGAGCTAGAAACATCGATGAGAGAGAATCATCGATCAGCTGCCTCTTGCACACCCCCTACTGGGGATGTGCCCGCAACCAAGGTACATGCCCTTGACCGGAATCGAACCCGGGTCCCTTAAGTCCCCAAGCCGACGCTCTATCCATTGAGCCAAACTGGTCTCGGCTCAAATTCATCTTAAGAAAGTACAAAAACCAGGCTTTTTTATGGGAAGGGAAGGGGAGTGGGCGGGGCAAGAGTGATTGACGCAGACCAGCAGCGTGCGAGGCAGACAGCTTACTCTGGGCCTCGGTGGTGTGAGCTGGTGAGAGGTTCCTGCGGGTCTTGGTAACACCACGTACTCCGCCTCTCCCGGGCGGCCTGCTGGCGGGCCGTGTGTGAGCCTCCTCTGAGGACGCTGTGTGTGGGGGAGGGGAGAGCCTGCACCCCGGAGCGGAGCAGGCTAGAGGGTTTGCGTTTCCTTTTCTGTGAAAGTCTGCACATGCCCTGCATCATAGCAAGGACAGTCTTCCTCCCAGGGCTTCCTACAGGCCGATAGTTGCTTTAAAATAGAGATGTGTGTTCCCATTAAAATGTCACAGATTTATCATTTTTCACAGAATAATGAAAACCCAGTGGGTGCGCGCACACGCACAATGTGATATCAGCCTACGTGGGATGTTAGGTTGAAACGGGGAGGGGGGTGGCTGGGTTTTCCTTTCCTTCCTTACCATGTGGTTAAGCTTGGTTTGCGCTGGCTGAGTCCGGTTGTCTCTGTGACAGGCGGGGAAGAGGAGGAAAGTGACGAGCCGCCCAAAGTAGTGGTCACGGAGGTGAAGGAAGAAGATGCTTTTTACTCCAAAAAGTAAGTCTGAGTCGGAGCCGAGGACCCGCCTGGTGAATGCTGTCAGCGTGGAGGAGGCCTCCGACACCACCCCAGACTGACTGTGCGGGGTGTGCCTGCTCCTTGAGTTGGAACAAGGAAGCGTTCTCTGCCTGTTTATTTAAAAACAAACATGTTCTAGGCTTTTCCTCGGGCACAGCCTTCTCTCCTGCCGACCCAGTTCTGCTTTAAAGGGCCGTAGAGAGGGCCTTTGCTTTGCCTGCCTCCCCTCTCAGCTACTTCCTCTCCCCTTTCTCTTCTCCCTGCCTCTCCCCTCCCCCATCCCCCACAAGGAAGTCACCCGCCACTGACTTGGGGTTCGGTGCTACTTCTCTCTTGGTCCGGTGGCGCCTGTGGTCTGTCCTGGAGACTCGCTGGTTTTCATGGATTTTCTTGCAGGTCCGCACAGCCCTGCCAGTGAGGCTGTGTGAACAGTTCCCTGCTGTCGGCTGCTTTGCTTTAAAGTTATTGGGGTGACATTGGTTAATAAAATTATAGAGGAGTCAGTAAATTGCACCGTGTTCTCCTCCCAAAGCAGCCCCCCGTCACGGTGTACTCGGCCTGCTTTAGAAGGCGGAGGGGACTTTTTAATTGCTCTCTGTGCTTCGAAGAGATATTTACTGAAAGGTTTTTGCCAGAAGCTTCCCTGGGTGTGTTTTTCTAATAGAAAAAGTTCAGCCTAATGAGTCAGCAGTTTTCATGGCAAAAAATCACCATGTCCTCTGAGATTTCCAAGTGTTAACTACTTCTAAGAACTTTTAAAAGAGGCCCGCCTTTCCTTTCGCCTGTTTTTAAAACTTATTTACACAGATGACAGAAGGCGTGCCCCTGTCGGGGTGTTTTCCTAACCTGAGCCAATCGGAAGCAGTGGTTTTGGTTTCTCTGGTGATGAGCTAAGGACTGTGTGACACACACTTGTGGCAGGCGGTTCACTGCATTGTCGTTACTTAGGGAGGTAAAAAAAGTTGTTGGAGTTCTGAAAAGAATTCAGAAATAAAGGAAAAAAGGGAGGGCTGTGGGCAGTGTTCGTTCTGTTTTGCTGTTTTCTTTTAGTTAATCCTCACTTAAGGATATTTTTTCCATTGATTTTTAGAGAGAGTGCAAAGGAGGAGGAGAGACAGAGAAACATCTATGTGAGAGAGAGAAAGACACGTTGATTGGTTGCCTCACACACTCACTCTTACCAGGGTTGGGGATCAATCCTGCAACCAAGATATGTGCCCTTGATCAGAATTGAACCTGGTACCCTTCAGTCTGTGGGGTGATGCTCTACCCACTGAACCATACCAGCCAGGGCTTTTCTGTATTCTTGTCCTTGGAAGACCAGATGGCCGTGATTTTTTTTTTTTTAATTTTATTAAGGTATCACATATTTGTCATCAGATGGCTGTGATTTTCGTTGTCTTGAGAAAGGGTAGTTTCAGAAAGTTATGTAATAATTTGAAAAACTAGTGGAAGGGTTCTCGAATATCCAAGCAGGCGTTCCTGTTCTGGTTCGTGCCTGGATCTGGTCTGGTGCACAGAAGGTGGTCTGGAAGCTTCCTCTGCTCCTTCAGTGCGATCCCCCACAAGCATGAGCAGTGGTGTGAGGACTGATGTGTGGTGTCTGACCGGATTGTGATTCTCTCCATAGGTGCAAACTTTTTTACAAGAAGGACAATGAGTTTAAAGAGAAGGGTGTGGGAACTCTGCATCTAAAACCCACGGCGAGTCAGAAGACGCAGCTGTTGGTGCGGGCGGACACCAACCTCGGTGGGTGCCTTTCCCCGGGTGGCGCCGCGAGAAGCCCTTCCCCTTGCTCGCTCAGTCTGGGAGGTGGGGGTGGGACAGAGAGACCGTTCAGGCCAGTTCATCCTGACTTAGCGGCTCTCGCGGTCGGTTTGAGTCGGGTGTGTGTGTGTGTGTGTGTGTGTGTGTGTGTGTGCGTGTGTGTGTGTGTGTGTGTGTGTGTGTGTGGAACAGGCTCTGCTAAACGCTAACAAAACGCCCTTCATGCTCCTGCGTGTGAGACGTGCTGGAAGCTGGAGGAAATTGATGTTTAATGATAAACACACGGGGAATTAATCACTGAAAGGAATCCTTTTTCCTCATTAACACACTCCCCTCAGCCCCTCTTCCAGCTGGGCCCTGAAACCAGTCCATGAGGGGGTTTGGAGGGAGCCAGGCTAAGAGGAAGTGGCGGCCCCAGGCTGGTTACAGAAGGAGGCCTCTGGGCATTGGGCAGAGCCCAGTCCCGCCCGTGGCCTCAGGTCCTGTCAGGCCTACCCGAGGCTCCCAGTCAGTCATGGAGTGCAGGGGCTCCGTGTTCAGTGTTCACCCGAGAGCTCTGGTTTGTCTGATGGGGGTCATTTTTGTTTTCTTAAACGCAGGCAACATCCTGCTGAACGTGCTGGTCCCGCCCACCATGCCGTGCACGCGCACCGGGAAGAACAACGTGCTCATCGTCTGCGTGCCCAACCCCCCGGTGGACGAGAGGAACGCCGCCGCCCCCGTGCCCATGCTGGTCCGGGTCAAGACCAGCGAGGACGCGGACGAGCTGCACCGGCTGCTGCTGGGCAAGAAGGACGCCGCCTAGCCCGCCCCTTAGTCAGGTTCTCCTTCCGCCGGCATTCGGAGGACTTTAGGTAACTTAACCCTGTGCGCAGGATTAATATGGCCAATAAACCTTTACTGTTTAGTGTTAGAACTGTCTAGCGTGTAAACTACATTGGAGAGACATTTGGGGATTTTTAATGTTCATTTATTAGGTTAACCACAAGTGATTTCTTAACGGACTGAAATCAGGGTATCACTGGATTTCCCAAAGCTTTTCCCACCGGGGGTCTGGGCGAGGCTCCGGGTGGGCGTCCGGAGGGCCTGGCCCTACCCTTCCGCCCGTGGGCGAGGCCGGCCGAGGGCCCCAGCCCTCCCCGGGGCGCCGGCCTGCCGGCGGGTGTGCTTGCTTCTAAGTGTTCTTCCAGAGCTCAGTGTCCCACAGGCCGCCCTCTGCGGCGCTCCGCAGCGTGGCCTGGCCCTGCGGCTGCTGGGGGGGGGGGGAGGGGGGGCGGGCCTGCCGCTCCTCTCACAGGGAAGCAGGACCGGGTGCTCAGTTTTGGAGTTGGATTCATGAGGTGCTGGTAGTTCCTTCTGTGCTCCCCTCATGACAGACGGAGAAAGGGGGGCTGCCAGGTGAGATTTAAAAGCACAGATTTGGTCGCGCACGCTTTGTATGTGACTGTGCCGGCGAGCCCTGTGGGTCACCTGCTGCTAAGGCCGGGAGCTTCCGTCGGACAGGACTGTGAGTGCACCGGACCGGAGGGGACACGAGTGTGCACATGTTGCCTTCAGCTTGGACACTGATATTCCACATTCGCCATCCAGTTCCCGGCCCTTTGCAGTGAGTTGTTCAGGGTTGGCACAGGAATGCCCCGTCGCTTCCCCATGGCTGTTGGAGCTCAGCCAGCGTGCCCACACACAGCACGTGGGAGACGCGGCTCTGGGGGTTGAAATGCCCGAGTTCCCCATTCAGTTAGCGCCGGCGCCAGGCGACTTGTTTCGGGCTCGGTGGGTGCCTGGGGCTCACGCAGTATGTTCTGGCCTTCAGCACATCCGACTCAGAAAAGGGGAGTCACGATAGTTATAAATCGTGTCGTTTTTTTTCTTAAAACAGCTGTAATATTTAGGTGTAAAGGGGCGGGGAAATGTGATCAAATAACTTAAATACTGGAGGTCAGGTGACTGCTCTGTCTGTTAACAGCACAGGCTGGCGGCCAGGGCAGGGATGAGGCTGCTCGCGGTGAGGGGCGTGGGCCAGCTCTCCTGCAACCCAGGCAGAAGCCCCAGTGGCCTTTGCATCTCTGCTTAGCATGAGGTTGTTGGTGTGCTCTGGCTGCAGGTGATGAGTAATGGACCAGCCGTTAATGCTGTTACAGGGATCCTGCCCCCCCCCCCTCCCGCCCTGGGCACGTTGGTTTATCTGTGAAGGAGGAGGAAGTACGGGTTTCCATGTCAGGGCCTCACACCGTGCTCCCAGGCCCGCCCTCCCGGAACAGCACGGCTCAGCGGGACCCTGTGGTCACGGGCATCGAGGTCAGCTTTTGCAGACTGGTGATGGCTGTGTGTGCGCTTACCTCTAACATTCCCAGCAAACTCGCTGCTGAGACTGTTCAAGTGAGAATTACAGGACAAATGTGACGTGTGTCCCATAACCCAGTGTGACATTTTCTTACAGTTCCTACGCTTTAGGCACTCGGCTCCACTGTAGTGGGTGCTGGTGTGCCAGTGCCCGGAAGTGTGCGACCTCACTGTCACCCAGCCCTTCGCGCGTGGCCTTTCCCCCCCCCCGTGGCGGGACAGCTTCCCCTCCCCGTGCGGCCACGTGTGAGAAACAAGTCTTTAAAGTGTTTAATGTGGACTGGAATGTATTTTGGGTTGAAGAACCTGTAAAGCGTGTTTTGTATGTGGCCTGGAGTGGGGTGTGCCTAGCTTTTGTTTGCAGCGGGTGGTGTTGTTGCATCTTGACAAACACTGAGCATCCCAGCGGCCTGTTTTCACACTGGTGTCCTCCTCCTCCTCCTTTTGCGCTTACCCAGTAGGCGAAACACTGCTGGGACTCCTTCACCGTTAGACTTACAGAATTCTGTGTCCAGGTGTTTTTTGATTTTGTTTTAATTCCATAGAGAGGGAGAGGGAGAGAGAGAGAAACATCAGTGATAATAGAAAAGCATTGATTGAGTTCCTCCTGCACGCCCCCTACTGGGTGTCAAGCCCCAAACCCAGGCACATGCCCTGACCAGCAATCAAACTGTGATCTCTTGGTTCATGGGTCCACACTCAGCCACTGAGCCCCACCGGCTGGGAGCATCAGGTTTTAAAGAAGTTCAGGTTGTGTTTCCTAGAGTAACAAGTCTGACTGTTTAGGAACTGGTTTTCTTTGAAAGGATGACCGTTTTACGACTTCAATTCCAAATCCTATTTTTGATATGCTGCATGCCAAAAATACCTACCTACTGTCGCTTAGTTCAGACCAGTGCTCACTGAGACAGGTGGGGGGGGCAACTGTTAGTCATATTCCGGAACAGCCCGCAGTGCACTCGAGGTTCGCACACCAAGCGGCTCCCTCCCAGACCCCCATGTCCATTCTCATTCTGAACGGGAGGCTTTGAAGTAGAAACGGGGCTGCCCTCCTGTGCTGCCCGAGGGGACAGGGAGCCTCTCGGCAAACGGGCCTCGGCCCCGCCCTGGGCACAAGGCCGCTCGGAAGAACCTGGTCTTGGGCCCAGGGCTCTCCCCGCAGACCAGTGGTGACGGAGGAACGCTTACTTCCTCGCCATCAGGTGGATAATGTTTGCTTTGTTTGAAGTAGGAAACTTTTTTAATACTTGAATTGTCAGCCCATGTAATCCCAGTCTGTGTCAGTTTTTGGATTATCCCATTGAGGACATGTAACAACCCAGGAAATGTGAATAAATTGAGAGGAAACAAAATCTGTGTTTGACATTCCATGTTCTCCGTGACGCACCTGGCGCTAAGAGCAGAGGGGAGGGGTCTGCAGAGCGGGAGGAGGGGGGTGGTGCAGAGCCGGGGGCCTGCAGAGCCCCACCCAGAACCTCCTGCTTGGAGGGAGGCAGAAGTGCTCTGGCCCCGAGGCCACTCCCACTTGCCTGGAACAGCTCTCTCTGGCTCGGGGGCTGTGCCGGCTTCTCCGCCCCCTGGTCTAGTCCTCGCAGCAGGCCTCCGGGCTTAGGCCTGGGTAGGTTTTCCAAAGAAACGAGTGCAGGCAGCTTCAGTTTCTCAGATAAGCAACTGGAGATTCGATCTGTGTTAGATCCATCTCCGCCAAAAGTCTGAGCTCTTAAGGACATTTTAAAACTAAGGACCAAAAGGATCAAGAAAAAATGTTTGGAGTTCACAGAACTGTCAAGTTCCAGTGCTTTAGGAAATACCAGGAAGGCCTGGCCAGGTTGTGTTTGGAGTCAGGCTCCTGTCCAGCCTGTGGGGCATGGGGCTGGACTGAGAGATGTGCCCGGGACGAACACACTGTCCAGACTCGCTCACCCGCCAGTGCTTCCCTGAACGGGCAGCCTCTCCGGGGCGGTGCTGACTCAGCGGGGGGCTGGACAGGGCACCGTCCAGTGCGGCCCTGGGTGCGCAGCCGCCCTGAAGGCCTGGGACACGGGGTAGCTCGCATTCTGTAACAGCCACTCTGTCCAGTTCAGCAGGTTAGTGCATTCACAGCTGTGCGGCCCTCACAGTGACGTGTTTGAAGATAACCTGTGGCACCCCCTTTAGGCACATTCCAGCGAGGGAGGGGGCGGAGGACTGGCAGAGCATGGCAGCCCTGGCCAGGCCTCACAGGAATGAGGCTGGCGGTTTTGCCTCTGGGAAGCCCAGCCCAGGCTGGCAGCAGCCCGCAGGTCCCTGCAGCCTGAGGAGGGCCAGACCCGCACGGCCCAGCCAAGGGCTCAGCTGGGCTGGTTTCTGGAACTGAGTTGCCTAAAATCCTTTGAACAAAAGAGTTTACCCAAAATACAGTCATTAAAGTTCACTAACAGCCACGGTTATTCACACAGAGCAATCGGATGGTTTTATTCAAGTTAGGTTCCAAGATGAAGGGCCTTAGCCAGACAGGGGGGACACCTTGTTAGCCCTGTTGGCTCCTGCGAGGCCGGGGTGGCAGGGAATCCCACAGGCTGTGGGCAGAGAACACACACAGTCATCCCCAACACAGACACAAAGCTTCCCTTCCCACACGCGGGTCCCAGGGGTCCGGCCGCACCAACAGCCACGCACAGAGCACAGCGCGCTTACACACCACGTCTATGTACAACGGCCGCGGAGTCGGACGGCCGTTTCACGTCCCCCTCCTCCCCGTGTGGCAGTCCCAAAGGCCCCCCTCCTGACTGCTTTTCTAGGCAAGCGCATGACTTGCTTCCTCAGAGGCCATCCGGGTCGGCATTAACCACAAGTGACCAAGCGTCAGCCATGCATAGCAACGAGGTCCTTCTAGGAGCTTCCCGGAGACTCTCAGCTAACCGTTGTCCGGTGACCGCTTTCCAGGGGCCTGATCACTGACCGGGTTTGGTCTGTGGCGAGGGCGTCTGTGACATCACCTCCCCCCCCCCCCCCCCCCCCGCCCCTAGTGGCCTCCTCTGTACCCACCATCTCAGTCTGCCCAGGTTCTCAGGTGTCACCTGGATGGGCTGCCCTTCCTGTTTCTAGATGTTTCCGGCCTGCGCCCGGACCCCGTTTCCCAGCCTTTAACTCCCTGCAGTGTCTTAGCCCTCCGCACACCATGGCCTGGTGACGGCCTCGTCTGACCCTGGAGATAGAGGCTCCAGCAGCTAGCGAACGTAGTCCCGTGCTCAGTGCCAGCTTGAATCACCGCAGAGCAAGGCAGCAGAGAGCCGGGGTCAGAGACGGCTCCCCCAGGCCAGGGGCTGGGTGCCAGCCGGCCACTCCCCCCGGGGCGTGCGGAGGCGGACAGCCCGGAGTCACCGACAGCCATGGTTATTCTGCGAGGCTCCTGCTCCCGGGGCTGAGCGCTGGCGGACCTGCCTCTTGGACTTGGCTTTGCAAACACAGCATTTGGCCCGACCGCAGTGGCTCACCGACCCCTGGCGGGCCCTTCCGCCAGTGCCCAGCAACAGTTCAAAATGCAGCTTGTGTTAGTACCGTTTCCCCGAAAATAAGACAGTGTCTTATATTAATTTTTTCTCCCAAAGACGCGCTAGGTCTTATTTTCAGGGGATGTCTCATTTTTCCATGCGCTAGGTCTTATTTTTGGAGGATGTCTTATTCCCGGGGAAACACGGTAGCTGTGTCAGTCCTCCAAATGGAGAAATCTTCAGGGCAAAAGAAAGTTCAGTCACCAAGTCACCACAAGGCCCTAGTGGAGAACAAAAACAGATTCCGGAGAGGAAGACGCGGGAGGAAAAAGAAACGTGATGTTTGCCATACAAATCAACCTCCAACAGAAATGAGAGCACGCAGGCCCGGCTGAGACGTGACTTCCGGAGAGCAGACGGTGCTGATCGGGAGCCACTGGCCTCCGACCTGCAGGTGTGGGGGTCACCATCAGGTGGCTGCCTTTGCTAAGATGGATTTTGCAGAAATCACTTCCATGACGGCTTCAAAGTGAAAAAAATCTCCACAGGTTTCCTTGCGGGTCTCAGCAGAGAATTTGGAAGGAAAGCCCAGAAGATGTGGATTTTCACCCAAATCGCCCCACCTTCTGTGGCGTGGGGACCCACAGGGCGGGCAAGGTGGGAGGCTCTGGATCCGCTGCCCCAGGACGGGACGCGGGCTGTGAACACGCCCTCCTGTCTGGCGGCCTCCCCTTCGGAGGTTCTGTCTGCTGAACTCGGACCTGCCCAGGCCACTCGGTGGTCAAGTGATTTGGCTTCTGCGTGTGGTGCTCCAAGCTCTCTGGGCCGAGTCAGCGCGGCAGGCTCTTCTCCCTGAGGGTCCAGTCCGGTCACGTCCATAAGGAAAAGGGAAGAGGAAGTGACAGCGGCACCTTCCTCCCTCCCACAGGCTGTCTCTGAGGAGCAGGCTGGAGCTCTGGCCGCCTGGCTCCAGAGCACACGCCCAGGGCGGCCCTGACTTTGCAGGGGCTCCAGGCTCCAGGGCAGAGGCGCCAGCACCGCCCTGCAGGCCTGAGGCTGTGTTTCCCACGGGTGGGTTTTTAAAAGGGACACTTGTCTTATGGCACCAAGATGAGAGGAAGCCTGGGCAGGAAGTCAATGTCATGTCAACAGATCCTGGTTTTTGAAGCTGAATATAAAACTAAATTCTGGCTAAACTGGAAAGCTGAACAGGAGGATATTTGTATGGATGTATATGTATATTCCCAAAAAACGTACGTACATTTCAACAGTTGCTAGCTCGGGTTTCTTTTCAGATTTAACTCACTGGAATGACTAATTATTCAAAGTGTGTATACTTTTTTTTTTTTTTTTGAGACAACTTGTATGTATGTGTGAAACCTATTAAAAAGTCTCATTAAAAAGCTAGCAGACTTGTAACATGTAAGCCTTTAAAGGATTTTGGACCGATTTAAAACCACCATATTATGATAATGCCAAAGATTTTTCAAGTCATTAGAATATCCCAGCTGTGTAGGGACTACCGCATGGAATGTGTTTTAATGGAAAAAATCTTTTATTTCCTTCTTAAAGTGTCTCCTGACTAGCCCGGCCAGGGTGGCTCAGTTGGCGGGGCATGTCCCATGCACAGAAGGTCGCCAGCTCGGCTCCCCGTCAGGGCACGAGCCCGGGTTGTGGGCTTGATGAATGTGACACGTAGGTTTCTTCAAAGAAAACTAGACTTTCAATTCCGATTCCCATTCAAGAAGCGTGCGCACACGTTATCCCTGCATCACTGAGACAGGCGTGTCCCTGGATATTAAAGACGACCCTCGGGGACGGGTAATGGTCCTGCCACTCATTCCTGATGCCGTTTGTCACTGCAAAAGCAAACCTCGGTGTCACAGCTCGCTGTGTAGTCGCCCAGCACGAGGAGTGCGTGTTCAGTTCAGTGCACAGGACCTTTCGGGTTAAAGACCAAGGTCAGCGCCACCGAACGTTCCTCCGTCTGTCCTGGCAGCGGGGTCAGGGCTGTGGGGGCGGCGAAGCTGCGTGGGCCTCCTGCCCGCCGTGCTTGCGGTTCGGTCTTGGGCGGTTTCCTCGTCGGTGAGACGGGACGGTGACTGCTGGAGGTGCTGCCTGCGTGCGGGACAGAGCCAGCCGCGGCCCGCGCACAAGGTGTGAGCTCAGAGCCCAGCCGCACGGGCCCCACCGCCCCCACTGCCAGTGTCCGAGTTCAGTAGCGTCTTCCTGTTACTGCTTGGGCCCTCAGGACCCCACGACGTCCCCAGGAGCGGTGGCCAGGCCTTACGACCGCTGGCTTCAGCTCCTCACCTCTGAGGAAGGGGGGCTGCCTCCCACACGTGCCGAACTAGCTCACCCCCCATGGAATCCACGTCGTGTCTCCAAGAACCGAGTTCCCGGCGGCTGGGAGAGAGCGGTCACCGTACAGCCACCTGGGACGCAAGCTCCGCCTGCGATCGGCCCCCGAACACCCCCACGGCGCCTGCAGACTGGCCACGGGGCTCACTCCGAGGCGCGGCTCCCCGCCTGGCTGCTGCCCTGCCACCCTGCTTCAGGCGCTGCTTCAAACTCGAAATCGTGCAGAGCAAGGCACCGCTGAGCACGAGCTGGGACCAGAGAACACAGAATGCTCCAACTCAACCCCATCAAACACTTCAGGGTGGGGAGGGGGTGACAGGACGACGGGAGGGGAGAATCGCATCCAGACTCTGACCCCTGGCCCCGGAGGTGCAGAATGCCTGGCGATCGCACCTGACCCAGTTGTGTACTGGAACTTGGAGACGTCAGTGAGGTAGGTGGTATCAGCCCCATTTTACAGGTGGGCAAACTGAGGCAGAATGAAATGCAACAGCTCGCTTTTAATAACAGCATACAAAATGTAGAGAAAGCCCCAAGGAGTCCCTGTTCCGGAGCCAGCGCACACCCTGGAGCACAGAATGGAAACCGATGGAACGAGCCCTCCATTCCTTTCCTGCCCCGGGGCCTCTGCCACCAGCAGGACCTGCAGGTGTTTCCAGAGGCTTTAGACTCAGCCATGCGGCAGCAGAGGCCAGTGACTGCCTCCCAGGGCTGGCCGGCTCTCCCAGAGGGCTCGGCTCTGAGAGCACGTGGTCCTCACAGGCAGAGGTCCTGGCTGGCACCAGGCCACGGGCAAACCCGGGGCTCGTGTGCCACCCACACCTGACCGAACTGGCCGCATGGAAGCCGGTTCCCCTCGGCCTCAGTGAGCTGGTCTGAGAAATGGGACCAGCACACCCAGGCAAGGGAGGCCATCTCCAGAAAGCTAGAGGTGGAACCCCAGCCCCTCCGGCCCGAGGAGCGTGAGCCTTCCTGGGGGCATGCCGCCCCCACCCTCCCAGCCACTCCTGCCGGGTCCGAGCCCCCACCTGTCCGCGTCCGCGTTCTGGGGCTCTCCCGGCGGGAGGCGGCGGGCGGTGCTCTTTGGCTGGAAGCGAAGGCCGTTCTGGCGGGATCCGGGCCTGTCTGCGAGCTCGAGGCCTCCCGGGAGCCGGTGTGGTTCCCGGCCCAGGGTGCACCATCCACAGCGGCCTTCCCCCTCCCCAGGGGGCCCCGTTAGGACCACGCTGGGGAGGACAGACATGGACCAGTGTGGACGCTGAGGAACTGCAAAATCTTAGCTGCTTCCTCCGGAAGCGCGGACTCCGCGGGGCCGTCTCCGCCTCTGAGTGGGTCAGCGGGTCTGGACGCACTGGCCGCTCCTTGGCGCGCTCTCTGGCCTCGGGCGTCTGTGGTTCTTTGGGTGCGGAGGGCTCCCCAGGGACGGGCTGGGCGATGGGCGGGCGCAGGGCAGGAGCAGAGCCAGCGGGGAGAGGAAGAGGCACTTCAGTTTGGGCTGGTGTTCGTGGAGTGGCCCTGGCCGGGGGGTGGGGGGGGCCGCCCGCTCCGCGCTGGCTGTCGGACCCCGGTGCGGTGGACAGCGAGGCACTTGGCAGTACTTCCAGGGCCGGGCTCCGCGCGGACTCCGCGCGCCTAGGTCATCAGGATGGGCTTCTGCCGGACTTCCAGGATGTCTGGGAGGCGGGAGCACAGGACAGGAAGTCAGGAAGCAAGGCCGCACCGCCCGCGCCGCGCACTCCCCAGGCCTTCCCTCTTCCCGCCTCGCCGGCTGCAGGGCTGTCGGGCCGGGTCAAGGCGGGGACGCGGGGTGTGGCCAGGCCCCGTCAGGGGGGACAGGGACACCTCTCCCAGAGGCCCCAGCGGGTGTGAACAGGGGCCTGACTTGAAATGAGGGGCCAGGGTGAGTCAGCTGGCTCAGAAGTGAGGCCGGGCTGGCCGGCAGGCGGTACCTGTGAGGATCCGATGCAGCGGCAACGTGACGTAGGTGAGGTGTGCATAGAGGAGGAAGTTCCCATCCGCTCTGTTCAGCTTCAGCCAGGACCCGACCAGGGAGCGCCCCGTGCCAGACAGGGACCGCGACCGCAGGTTGGTGGCATTGTGCAGGTCCGCTGCGGGCAGGAGGCTGGGTCAGGCGTGGACACCCCACTCCCGGTGACTCCTTCCTGCCCCCTGCGCCCTCTGCGGCGACTGATTACCCTGGCCTGCAACCTCTGCCCCCCCCCCCAACTCTCTCACCCCTTTCTCTGTCCAGGAGCCTCCTCCCTGGGGTCCTGCACCCCGCACACGGCTACCCCTCTGCTCCCCGGGGTCCTGCCTGTCACTGGAATGAGGTGCCACAGGCCTGAAGGGCCGGGGCGAGGCTGGGATGAGGGGCACTGTTGCCCAGGGAGGACACTGCCCGAGCCAGCGCTCGGGTCTCCGGGTCTGCGGGCAGGGCCACTCAACACCAGCCCTAGGCTCCCATGGGGGCTGGCACCACGGAGGCACAGGAGCGCTGCCAGGGACTGGAACTGTGTGGCCAAACCCAGGCCTCTGCCAGGCAGGCGGGAGGCTGTGGACCCCACTGAAGGCTCCAGAGCGGGTGGGAGTCTGGAAGCCGCCTGGGCCGGCCGGCCACGGCACTGGGGGCGCGGCACGGAAATGCTGACCAAGCGCCGCGGCTGGTTTTCCTTTGCCGCAGGCTGACGGTTAAGTTCAGGGAGAGGGACACCTGTGCATGGCCCCGGAGGACAAAGGCTGCCCACCGGCTCTCGAGAAGGCTGAGGGGCCAGCGACAGCGCCGGGGGAAAGCTGGTGAAGTCACAAAACGCATGGACGAGCCAGAGCCCACTCCCTCTCGTGGCGTGCACTTCCGGCCACAGTGGCGACAGTCAGACCATTGGCGTCGGCAAGCACAGGGACCCCTCACACTGCACACCGGGACCCCTCACGCTGCACACCGGGACCCCTCACACTGCACACAGGGACCCCTCACGCTGCACACCGGGACCCCTCACACTGCATATAGGGACCCCTCACGCTGCACAGGGACCCCTCACACTGCACACTGGGACCCCTCACACTGCACACAGGGACCCCTCACGCTGCACACCGGGACCCCTCACACTGCACACAGGGACCCCTCACGCTGCACACAGGGACCTCTCACGCTGCACAGGGACCCCTCACACTGCACACCGGGACCCCTCACACTGCACACAGGGACCCCTCATGCTGCACAGGGACCCCTCACACTGCACACCGCCACTCGTCCTCACGTGCTGAAGACCCCTGGAAGGGCCCTGCGGCAGGGATCTGTCCGTCCAGCCCCTCCCGGACAGGCACCCTCTAGGAGGAACGAACGAGGAATGAACGAATGAGGAATGAATGAATGAGCCGAGGGGCACCGGGCCGCTCACCGGCAGCGTCGTCCTCCCGGAAGAACTCCTGGCTGTCATTGGCCGAGTGGGACTTCTTCATCTCGGCGATGCGGTTGCGGGGCACCTTCCTCTTGAGGGACGGGGAGAAGAAGGTGGGCCGGTTGTCCCGCTCCGGGGTGGGCGGGGTGCTGAAGGAGGCCATCTGGGGACAAAGTCGGAGTCACAGCGCAGCCCGCCAGCCAGGGGCCCAAAGCCCACTCCCTTCCCCCAACGGACCCCGCGCTCCACGGGGAGCACCCGCTGGAGGGGCCCGCCCTTCTGAGGGCCCAGTGGGCACTAGGACATGGTTTCAGCTCAGGGGCCAGCAGGGCGGCCTGGCCGCCAGCTCTGCCCTCAGACCCTGGCAGGGGCCGGGCTAAGTGTGAAGACTGGCTGATGACGCTGCTCAAGCACCTGCCACAGCACGCGAGTCCACGGAATTCCCACGAGACGGGCCCGGCACTGACCCCGCGGGCAAGTGAGGACACGAAGGTGGACAGCAGCTTTAACGGGACCAACGTGAACTCACATCATCCGGAAGGATGACGGCAAAACGATGGCGACTCAATCCCCATCCCCCCCGCCCCCAACTTCTGGCTAACATCCCCCTACCCCCAGCATTCTTCCATACACTTGCTATGGCCAGGTCACCTCCTCTCCTCTCTTCTAACCACTCTGTTCAGTTCACCAAACATTCTCCACACCCACTTGGGGCCCGGTGGACGCAGCACTGAGCACAGACAGGCATGTGACACTGGTCCCTGCCCTCAAGGAGCTCACAGTCTGCTGGGGGCAACAGACTCAAAGAGAGACAACAATAGCATGATGGTCGCTGAGACAGGTAAAGAGAGGCAGAGCATACAGGGGAGCACAGAGGCAAAAGCCCGAGAAATCAGGGAAGGCTTCCTGGAGGAGATGCCGCTGGAGCCGGGTCGTGAAGGACGAGTAGGAGTTCGCCAGGTGAAGAAGGGGGGGAAGGGCGTTCCAGGCAGAGGGAACGTGGCCCCTCTCCTCCCTCCTCCCCATGCAAACAAGAATCTGAGAATAAGATGAGCTGGGACCCAGACTTGCGGAGCCCCGTCAGCCTCTTCATCATGGCTCTGACGTCCGGCGGCCGCTGGCTCCAGGTGGTCCTCCCACAGTCAGGGAAGGTTTTTAAAAGATAAAAAACAAACACCAGAAACCACAGAACACACAGAATCTGCATTTGTCATCGCTGGTTACAGTGACCCCCTGGAAAAGGAGGGTAAGCAACAGTGAGCACAGAGGTGGCGGGGCCTGAAAGGTCCCCAGGAGGCCAGGCCCTGCCACTCACAGCTGCGTGGCCCCGGCAGGCCCCTCCCCTTGACCCCAGAAGCCCCCCTGCTGAGAGAGGCCCTGCTTGGAATTCTCACCATCCTTACAAAAAATACCGATTATTTTATTCTGCTTATAAAACACATTCAAGGCAGAAGATGCAGACATGAAAGGTATGAAGAAGATAAACAAATGCCCTCTGGCCTCCTGGAGGTACGCCTGGTTGGCATCGTTTGACAGAAGTGAAAGGACGGCAAACACTCCCGCACTCAGCGCACAAACACTGTTTACGTTCTTAGGGGTCACTTCCAAGCGGTCAGCAGCAAAGCCACTGCAGTGGCCGCTCCCTGGACACCTGTGGGCCGAGCCCTGTGCAGGCGCTTGGGGTGCAGCGGCTCCTCTGAGCCTCCCAACCCTGAGGGAGCAGGCGTGGCACCCCATTTCTGGGTGAGCACCCTGAGGCTGAGCAGCTCGGGAACACCCAAGCCGGCGGAGCGGCCTGGTTCCACCCCGGAAAGGTTCCCAGCGCTGCGGACAGGAAAGGCCCTGCCTGGTGCGGGCGGTCACCGGGGAAACACTGGGCGGCGGAGAGCAGAGCTGATGCTCAGGGTACAGGACGAGGCAGCTCCTCACTCCCGGGGAGGCTGTCCCCGGCCTGCGCCCGCCCAGCAGGTCCACTGAGGCAGGCCCAGTGCCCGGTAAACACCTGGCTGCACTGACCGCTCAGGGGAGCAGACGGGGCTCTGGCCTTGGCATTAACCTGCTGTGTGACCCTGGGCAAGTGACTTGCCCTCTCTGAGCCTCGGCCTCCGCACCAGAGAGTGGGGACAGTGACCCCTCCCTCTCCTGGGGCTGTAGCACTGGGAGACGGTGGGAAGCAGAATCAAGGGACAGCAGCCTTGCCCGAGCGGGCAGCCCTTACCCGCTCGTGCATGGGCGAAGCCGGGCTGGAGTCCTCTGTCCCGCAGGGGGACGTGTCGCCCGTGGACACGCGGCTCACCGCCATCTCCGCGTGGCCCTTGCCCTGGGGCCCCTTCATGCGCACGAACTCCATGTTGTTGTACTTGTAGAAGCCGAAGGACATTTTCTGCGCCATGCGGGCGGCCACGCTCACCTGTGGGCGGCGGGAGGCTGAGCAGGATGTGGGCAGGGGTCCTCCCTCCCGGAGCAGCCCCAGCAGGCCCAGGGCCAGGCTGGGTACAGAACTGCAGCCCCAGGACCCGGCCGGCCTCCCCACACCCACCAGGCTCCAAGGAGAGCGCCTTCGCCGGTCCCTGTCCCCAGGTCAGTCCTGGGAGCGTTCTGCTGGCAAGGTCACCAGCGCTGGCCCCGAGCTGGGCAAGGCAGGTGCTGTGAGGAGGGTGGCCCAGTGGGGCGGGGCGGGCCCGGCCGCTGGCTCACCCGGTTGTCGTACACCTTCTTGAGCGCCTCGTAGCGGATGGAGCCCTGGAAGATGACCCCTTGGAACATGTTGGTTTTGTCACTGGCCACCAGCTCCACACAGACCATCTCTCCCTCCCCCACGGTCATGTCGCTGAACACCTGGGGGAGCAAGCGGGGAGAGGACGCCAGCCATCAGCTGCCCACCACCACCCTCACTCGCCCCGAAGGCCCCATTTAGCAGTGAGAACCTGAGGCACGGGTGCGATACCGGTGGCCACCGGCCCTCCCACCCTCCGCCGACCCAGCGCAGCCCAACTCAGCTTGGGTGGAGGCACGCGTTTAGTTTATGGCGATAATAACGACCCTCCATTCGGGCGCCCCTCTGACCTCCGACCCCCAGGGTAAAGGACGATGAGCGCGACTTTACAGGTGGGAGAACTGAGGCTCCCAGCTGGGGGGCGCCCCTGCTCCTCACCCAACACCGGGAAGAGTGGGGGCCACATTGGTGGAGTCCCGATCCGCCTGCCCCTGGCCCCGCCCACCGCCTCCCGCCCGCCTGCAGGGGCGAGGCTGCGGGAGCCTGTGGAGACACGCACCTCCTCGAAGCTGTCGATCATGAAGAAGATGTTGGGGTAGCTCATCTTGGACTCCTCCCCCTTGCTGTCCATGGGGTGTTTGCTCGGGGACGCAAACACTTGCTGGAAGGAAGGAGATGGAGGGGCGCAGTGAGCCCCGCACCCAGGCGGAGGGTGCACACACCTCTTCCCGCGCCGGGGCGGCCGGGGCAGCGGCGGGGCGGCCGGGGCAGCGGCGGGGCGGCTCACCTGGGACTTCTTCTTGTGGATGTGGATGTCGCCCCCCTCGGAGCGCGTGCACACGGCGCAGGTCACCATGTAGTCCAGCTGGAAGAGGGCGGGAGGGTGCGTGAGGGCTCGGCTGTCCCCAGGCCACCCTCCCGGCTGCTGGAGCCCCGCCCCGCCCCCCTACCTTCTGGAGGACGAGGTTCAGGCAGACGCTCTCCTCCCAGTCAATGTCGGGGTCGCCCAAGCCTGGCAGCTTCTTGGAGTCCCGCCGGTACACCTCCACCTCCACCGCCGCCTCCGCCTCGGCCTCGGGCAGCTGCAAGCACAGGGCGGGGCGAGTGGGTGCCCCTGTGGCACCGAGGGGCAGGTTCCAGCCTGCCCTCAGCCTCTAGCTGAGACCCGAGTCCATCAGGAGCTGAACCTCCCAGGCTGTCACCCTTTTAGGGTGAGGTGTCCCGTTTTTCAACGTGTCCCGCGGCGTTTTAAAACAGTCCCGGTTTTTGGAAAGAATCTTTGTTAAAACGCCAGGGGACGCGGGACAAATTGTTAGAAATCGGGACTGTCCCGCCAAAAGCGGGCCATCTGGTCACCTTATTGTAGGGGCTGCGCGAGGGAGGGGAACCCAGCCTCCTGTTCCGCCCACACTCTGCTCCCCAAACCACAGCAGGCACCCAGCCACCCAGCCACCCGCCCCCTCAGCGCTGGTGGCCCGCAGGTTGCTATGGCGACTGGCCGCTCTGCAGGCTGCAGGGTGGAAGGGGCGGGAGCAGCCTGGGCTTGCCGCAGAGGACACACACTGCGCAGGCGCCCCAGAGGCCCGCAGTGCGCAGGCGCAGCACCTGCCAAGCTTTTCTCCCCATTCTTTTGTGTTTTTTCTGCCCATTCTTTCGTGTGTTTTTTCTCCCCGTTCTTTTGTGAGTGTGTTTTTTCTGCCCATTCTTTTGTGAGTGTGTGTTTTCTGCCCATTCTTTTGAATGGTGGCGGCAGGAAGCCACCTGGGAAGCTGCCACTCCGTTTCCCCACATCCCCTTCCGCCCGCCCTGCACCCCTGGGCCCATGGGGCCTCAGATCGCTGCCCGCCCCCTGCCCTTCACACACCCACCCGGCAGCCCCTCCCGCTGCGCACGTGCGGTCCCTCCACAGGAAGGTCTCAGCTCACTGCGGTCCCCGCTGTCCCACAACCTGCCCACCATCGCAGCTGTGCCCCTGGCTGCGCCCTGTCCCAGCAGACTGGGGCTCCCCAAGGCCAGGGCCAGGGCTGATTCACTCTGCACATAGCTCACAGTGGGTGGTCGATGGAACATTCTAGCACATGAACAGCTGGACACAGGCTCCCATGGACTCAGGCTCCCTCGCTGACCTCAAACCCTCTCACCCCCATTTTCAGGCTCTGCCCCCTCCTCCACAGGCCTCCGCCCTGGCCGGTGACCTCTCTCCCTTCACCCCACCTGGCCTCTCCCCTCGCCCCCAGGAGGGAGAACGGACGCTGAGGCCGGTCAAGAACACTCCCTGGGGGGAGGGGGCGGCCGGGGAGAGGTCAATGGGGGAAAAGGAGACTTATGTAATACTTTAGACAACAAAGAATTTAAATATAAAAAGATAATAATAATAACAATAATGGGATCTACGACAAAGCTGAAAACCTGAATGGTTCTTTCATGTGTGAAACGGGGCTTGTGCGATTGGACTGCAAAGGCACGTCACCACGGCCGGATCTCTGTCCTCTCACGGTTAGTCTCATCTCCAAGGCCTTTCCAGCCCAACAGCCAGGAGAACTCCCGGTGGTGTATGCAGTGGGAACCGGCCGTCACCTCGCCGTGCAATTCTGGAAACTTCCATCGCTTGGGAACTGGACAGTATTCAAGGCCCACAGGCCACACACACACACACACACACACACACACACACACACACGCACACAGCCCTCCCCTCACCAGAGCCGGGGCCGCGCCGGCACAGATTCCAGAAATGGCGGAGCGTGTGTCAGGCCTAACCTTTGTCTCGGCTGCAGCGGGCTGACTGCCTTTGGAAAGACCCGTCTACAATCCCAACAGGGCCGGGGTGACCCACCGCTGGCCAATCGCTCGCTATCTCCTGCTGCTCCCTCCAGCCTCGGGCTACCTCTGGGCTCTGTCTCCCTCCTCCTCCCACGGGCTCCCGAGCCCAAACCTCTACCTCTGTCCCTGACCTCCCAGCCGAGTTTCAGACAGCGATCCAGGCACCTCGGACCGATTCAGACCGTCCAACACCACTCCCCGCCTGCAGTGAGGGCACCAACTCCCCTGCCCTTCCAGTCACCCGAGGCCCTGCTGGGCTGAGCCCACGTCCTGGGCGCCAGCGGCCCACCCCCTCACCGCTCCCTCTCCCCGGTGCGGCCGCCAGCACCCGCCCACGCAGCCCTGCCGCCGCCCTATCCCCCCCAGGCCATCCGCCGCCGGGCACTTGCTGGAAGGACCTCTGACCGCATCCCTTCCTCTGTTTACGCTCCGGCGGTGTCCCAGGGCTTTGGAGAAAACGCCTCAACTCCTGGGCGTGACCTCCACGGCCCTGTGCCCGGCCTGCCTCCGGGTTTCCCGCGTCCCTCTCCTCCAGGCAGCTGCCCCAACACAGCGGCCCTGGACGCCCGGGTCTCCGCACTGTCAGGCCCCCACTGCGCTGCCGGGAACACCTTTCCCTTCAAGACGCCTCTCACCAGGCTCTGCTCCCGTTCCCTCTGGTCACTAAACATGCCAACCATGTGTGTGCGCGGTCCCGGTGACACCAGCCGAATGCCAGGGACCCAGGCCAGCCCCGGGGTTAGCTCTGTCCCCGCACGCCAGGAAGCCCAGCCAGACCAGCTGCACTGCCGCCGGCGTGCGGAGGGCCAGCGCGGCAAGAAGTCACCGCGTCTCCTTTGAGGGGACGCCAGGCCTGTCCGTTTGTAGAAAAGCCTATCTGCACGGGTCAGGCCCAAGAGCAGGCACACGGCAGGGCGAGGCCTCCAGGGGCTCCAAATACCCGCCAGCTAACAGGCCCGGCCCGCAGGGGTCAGGTCCCGCACCCAGCCAGGCAGGCTGCCCAGTCCCGGGCTGCTCCTCAGCCTCCCCCGTCTGTGTTTTAAAGAAAGCCGTGCCCTGCCGGGTCTGGCACACAGGTGGCTTAAACATTTCAAAACGAAAGCTTCCGAAAAGGGCAGGAAACGTGCAGTTCGCTGCGTTAACCCCTCCACGCGCTGAAACGCGGGGACGGGAAGCCTCGGGGAGTCAGGCCGTCGGAGCGCAGCTTCTGCCCGCCGAGGCGCGCGGGGTGTGAGGCCAAGAGGCGGACAGCTCCGCTGGGCAGCCCGGGGCCTGGGGTCAGCGTGCGCTCATCGCCACCACTGCCGTCACAGGCCAGGGAGGAGCCGGGACTCTGGGGTCTAAGCTTCGCCCTACGTCTTATGTACTAATTATGGGAGGCTGCCAAACCACTCGCCTCCGAACCTCAGTTTGCTCAAAGGTGCAATAATGATGACCCTGCTGCCGTTCTGGGTCACGGTGACGGTTAACGATAATGCATCCAGCCTAGTAAGCATGTGTGGCTGTGTCCCAGGGCTCCCGCACACAGTAGGCGCTCAGCGAACCTCCCAGGGCTCCGGCACACAGTAGGCGCTCAGCGGACCTCCCAGGGCTCCCGCACACAGTAGGCGCTCAGCGAACCTCCCAGGGCTCCGGCACACAGTAGGCGCTCAGTGACCTCCCAGGGCTCCCGCACACAGTAGGCGCTCAGTGACCTCATTCCCCCCTTGGACATGCACGGGGCCCGCCAGGTAGGCCGCCTCGCTCGCCCAGAGCAGACCCTGCAGGGAGCCGGGCCAGGCCGGCGGAGGGCACGCACCTTCCTCCCGTCGGCCCCGCTCTCGGCGCCCGCGAACGCCAGCTTCCGGCGCACGTAGAACAGCATGTCGTCCTGCCGCGGCGCCCACTTCTCCATGAAGCAGGTGGAGAACATCCAGGTCCAGAAGGCGATGCGGTCATCCTTCAAGCACCCTGCAGGGGGCAGTGAGGAGGCGGTCAGCCTGGCCTTCGCATGTGACCTTGGCCGGCCCTGTCCCCAACGCCCCTTCCCTGCCCCCACCCTGCATCTCTGGACAGAAATCTGCCGGGACTGTGCTGCCCAGAGCCCCCTTCCCCTCCCCCCTTTCCCCCCTCCCCCCCAAGGGCGGCCACAGGGGCTCAGGGATCCTCCTGGAGGCCCGACTCCACCCAGGCCCAGCGCCCAGCCCCACAGCTGCGCGCACTCCAGCCCGAGGGTGAGGGTGAGTCAGCAGTGCCGTGGCCGTGGCCGTGGCCGGGAAAGACCACGGAGAGGAACCGGCAGGGGCTGGGCTGCGCTGGTGCTGGCGGAGCAGGAAGGCTCTGCAGGGAGACCTTCGTCACCAGACAAGCACCACCCTCACCCCCCGCCCCCACAGGCTGCGGCAAGCCCCAGAGAGCAGATTTAAAGGAACAGCTGCCCCTTTGCCAAGGAGTCTCGGCTGCGGGCAGAAGGCAGCGAAGCCGCGCCCAGCCCCCACCCTGCGCTGCGGGCCTTTCACCAGCCGGTCTGCTCCTGCCGGTTTCAGGGGCCCTGCTCTCTGACAAGCACTGTTTCTTGAAGGCAATTCATCTGTCACAATTCATCTGCCTCTGCACCAGGAGAAAGGCCCTCTCTCAGAGGGGGGGAAGCCCGCTCCACGCACTCCCCCTGCGATGACAGCAGGCACACAGCCTGGCTCTGCTGCCCAGGCCCCGGTGTGAGTGCGGGCTGACGGAGCCGTGGGCACAGAGAGAGAGGACCAGAGCGGGCGCCTGCCTGCCTAGACAGATGCAGGAGAGGCAGGATCCGCGCCAGAGCGCTTCGGGAAACTCAGGGCATCCTCGCTGCTGGCTCCTTTCTCCCTGCCCCAGAAGAGCCGGCCCCGCTGGCGCCTCGGGCCTACTCGGTGCAGGAAGGGCCTGACCTAACCCTGCACATACAGACGGGAAGCACGCCGCGGAGGGGGCCTCCCTCGCCCGACCAGGACTGCAGCCGCCCTGGGGGTCAGCCACCAGGCTCTGGAAGGCTGAGCCACATGCAGAAACCCCGGCCTCAGTTTACCTCAGCCACAGCGCGCCAGTGAACCAGGCTCCCACCAGCTCCCTCCCCCGCCCCTCTGCTCCCATAGCCCGCTTGGCTCAGGGGGGAAACAAGGGGTCTTCTCAGGCAGAGTCTAGGTCAGCCTGATCAACATCAACGCAGCCTGTCAGCCGGGGGGGCGGGGAGCAAAGGTGGAGCCTCAGGACTGACAGCCTCTCCCAGGCTCCCAGGCACCAGGGGAACCAGGCGGGCTGTCTGCGGATCTGAAATTTCCACACATTTCCACAACAGGCAACGCCTGGCTCATGCCTCTACAGACCCCTGCGAGATTAAGCAAAGGCACTGTGCTTACCTATGCATATAAAAGGCTAATATACAAAGTGTCCCCTTGGGAGTTCGACCTGGAGTGCGATTGCTTGCTATGATGTGCGCTGACCACCAGGGGGCATCAGGGAATGAAGGAAGGCCCAATTGGCCCGGATCGCCGGCCAGGCCTAGGGACCCTACCCATACACGAATGCATGCACTGCGCCTCTAATTTCTGGATAAAACCTGAACTCCTGCCTGGCCGGTGTGGCTCAGTGGTCGAGCATTGACCCATGGACCAGGAGGTCACGTTTCGCTTCCCTTCAGGGCACATGCCCAGGTTGCAGGTTCAATCCCCAGTCGGGAGAGTGTAGGAGGCAACCAACTGGTGTTTTTCTTTCTTTTTCCCTCTCCCTTCCCCTCTTTCTCAAATTAATAAAAACATATATTTTTTATAAATGCAAGAAGAAACAGCACAAACATCAAGAGCTGCCCTCCTGAACATTCAAAGCTCCCTTCATGCCCAAGAAAGCAAAAGGAACAGGAAGACCGGGAGGGAAACCAACACACGAGCGAGGCCGTTCAGAAGGAGTTCACATCTCAGCGGTTATGAAAGTGCGTAACCCCATGAACAAATGTGTGAACTGCCCACACAGGGAACAGACCAGAAGGGAAATGCAAGTGCTTGCCCAAAATGTGGGAAAATATTGATCTCTCGAGTAATCAGAACTTCTTATTAAAAGAACAGGTGGTCATTTTAAGAGGGCAAATTTGATAGTATTTATTTTTAATTTTTTTAAAAATATATTTTTTTGATTTCGGAGATGAAGGGAAAGAGAGAGAGAGAGAGAAAGAGAGAAACATCAATAATGAGAGAGAATCATGGATCAGCTGCCTCCTGCACACTCCACACTGTAGATCGAACCTGCAACCTGAGTATGTGCCCTGCCTGGAATTTGAATCGTGACCTCCTGGTTCATAGGTTGATGTTCAACCATTGAGCTATGCCAGCCGGGCCAAATCTGGTGGAATTAAAAAAATACCACTTAGGAAAAAGGGCAGATTCTTATAAGCTAACCATATTGGCCACCGATGTGCCCACTGCTAGGCGCTTACCCCAAAGAAATGAAGCCTGTGCCACATGGGTTCCCACACGTTCCTGAAAGCTTTGTTCATAACAGTCCTGAACTGAGAACCAGAATAGACACACAAAATGTGACACGGCCCACCCATGGGTGATCACAGGCAATAAAAGCAAACCGCTGACCCACCGCACCGCGGATAAACCTCAAACCCGTCCTTCCTGCTGAGCGGGGGCCACTCAAAGGCTGCGCGCTGGAAGGTAACAGCCACGTGATGTTTCGGAAAGACAACCAGAGTGACGAGAGCACGGCAGCTCCTGATGGCGGCGCGGTTCCCGCAGCCATCACCCGGCTCACTCTCCGGTGGGTGCAGTGATCTTACCTAAACCAGACTCTACTGAAGTTGATAAAACATGGAAATTATGGAAGCTGGCAAGGGGGCATGAGCTGGGGACTCTCATATGTGCAAGAGAACAAAAATCATTATATTCTTGGTGAAAATCAAATGAGCATTCTCCTATTTCAGGACTCTATCTTATGGAACAAAAACAAAGCACAACATTTCTGCGTTATAATGATAGGCCGCGCCGTGGGCCCCGGGGACCGCCTGCCTGGCCCTTTCCGTGTCTGCCGGGGTGTGGCCTGCTCGGAGGAGGCCACTGGATCCCCCACTCCCCAAGGTCGCGTGGCGCAGTGACTGTGTGTGAATAAACACACGAGGGGTGACTGGACCCTGAGTGGCCTGGGAATCAGTGCTGTCTTTCTCCCACAGGTAAACCCTGGACCCGAATCCTTCTCCAAGGCCTGACCAGCCAGCAGCCCCCTGGGGGACAGCCCTGGAGCTGCCTCGCCGGCAGAGCTCCCCCATCTGCAGGCGCCCTCTGCCCCGTCTCCCTGGCACCTGGCCTCGGGGCAGAGGGTTTCCTGGCCCCTGAGTCCAGTGGGTCCATTGGAGGACACGTGGTCAGGCTGGACGCCGAGCCGCTGGCTGGGGCAGCACCACGGACAGCTCCACGCCGCAGGCCTGCCTCCCCGGCTGGCCCGGGTCCCAGGAATCGGCCTTTTCCAGTCCCTTCTCATTCCTGGAGGTTCTGTTGGATCAAGTGGCCACAAAGGCTGCATTAGCCAACACCAAACACCACAACCCCGTGGAGAAATGCAGGGCTGGTCCCTTCAGGCCTCTGGTCACAGAACGCTCTGTCCGCCAACCAGCACGTGACCCGGCTTTCTATGTGTCTGAACAAAAACGCCTTCTTTAGCATCCGGCTGGCTCACTGACACCCAACTCTAGCCAACGGCCATCACCGGCCTGGATGAGGTCACCCGACCTGCATCGCCCTCACAAGCCCCTAGCAGCCTCGGCGTGCCGGGGGCCGGCCAGCGCCTTAGCTCTGTGCTTGGGGCCGGTTCAAACGGCAAATCACCGCCACAAAGCACACAAATGCACTAAGGCCGTGGTCGGCAAACTGCGGCTCGCGAGCCACATGCGGTTCTTTGGACCCTTGAGTGTGGCTCTCCCACAAAATACCACGAGGGAATGTGAGCGCCACGAAGTCTGAATAACTTTCCTCTCTGCTTTTGTTCCCGGGTGAGTTCTCCGTCCCTAGCCGCTGTTTGACCCGCAGGAAACAGGATGTACTGGCTGAGTGCCCGGATAATGAGGTGAGCTCAGGATTAACCACAGCGAGGGGGTACTGGCCCGTCATTCCACCCATCAATGGGACCGAAAGGAAAGGCCCGAAATAGAACTAAAACACGTGGTCATTTAATTCACACAAAGACGCCGCTTCAGCTGGCTGAGAGGAAGGTGACTGTGGTTACCTCGCACCGGACAGCAGGAACTGAGGAGAGAGGCTGAGTCCCGCTCAGGCCTAACAAACCCAAGGAGGTCGCAGCTTTTAAACGTTACGACGAAAACCATTTAAAAAATAAGCCATGAGTGAATCTTTCTGTCCTCTCAGAGAAAAGCCTCTCTAGATAAAGCACAAAAGCCATTAAAGAAAACAATGGTAAGCCACATGAGAAATCTCTACAGAGATAAAAACCCACACACATGAACGGGGAAATGCGGAAACCCTTCATGAGGGCTGAGCGCCCTGACAGCACCCCATTCCATACGACGCCTGAGAGCACGGAGCAGAGTGAAAGCAGAGAGGCATACACGGGCTTTCACAACAGGAACCACGCTCACCGTCCTACAACTAGAGAAATGTAAAGGAAAACTATTTTATCCCCTCCCCAAACACCTGACCACACTCCAGGTTCAAGAGGGTGTGAATGGACATGGATGTCACACCTGACAGTGGAAGGTGGACTGATAAAATCCCTATGGAGCGCTAGCTGGTGTGGTTCAGTGGTTAGAGCACTGGCCTGCACACCGAAGGGTTTGATTCCTAGTCAAGGGCATGTACGTGTTTTTCTGGGGAGGGAGGAGAAAATGGTGGTCAAATAGGCAGATCTTTCTTGCACCTTCTTGCAAGGACAGACTGGAAATAAACTAAAGTGGGGAAACACACACCCAGAATTACCAACTGAGATCCAGT